ATTAATTGAATTAATTTATTAAATAAATGAATAAATAAACACTTCCTTGAGACTGGCTTGCGGGGACTGGTCTTCAGAACCACCATCACAAGTTTGTCTTGCGTTTATCTCGAGCAGAACCTTGTGGTCATATCTCTGAGGTGGCCCCGGTGTGTCCAGTGCCTGTTTTATGTAGAAAAGCCCCCGTAGTTTGAGCTGATCAGGAAAAGGGAAAAACAAAACAAAAACAGGCAACATGACAACCCTTTCTGAAAAGGACAAGAACATAGTCCAAACTTTCTGGGCTAAAGTGGCTGGCAGGGAGGAGGACATCGGTTGTGATGCTGTCTCCAGGTAAATATGCCTTATGATTTACAACCTATGACCCCAACTGGACAGACCCTCTGCTGCATTTTTACCTACTATTTACTTAACTTACATTTTACCCAGGATGCTGACAGTGTACCCCCAGACCAAGACTTACTTCTCCCACTGGAAGGACCTTAGTCCCGGTTCTGACCCGGTGAGGAAGCACGGAACAACCGTGATGGCTGCAGTTACTGATGCTTTCAGCAAAATTGATGATCTCACCGGTGGTCTTCTGAGCCTCAGTGGGCTGCACGCCTTCATTCTGAGAGTGGACCCTGCAAACTTCAAGGTACTTATTTATTAAATCATAGCAATGAAACTTTTTAGTGTTTTGCTGTGAAGGTTTGGACTTAAATAAAACAGATCACAACTTTTGTGCATTATCGTATTAATATAAAAATAATTTAATAGATTTAATATGTTTTTGTCTTTAGATATCCCAAGATTTTCTTCCCAAATAGCTATTCCCAAGCATATCTATTTCTCACAGAAACATTATTAAACACAACATGTCTAAATTACACTTAACCCAGACTGTGCGGTTCAATCGTACAAAAACAATGTTTGCAGAATATTACAGCAATTAAATGTGACTTTAAATGAGGCTATCATGTTTTCACAGGTTCTCTCTCACAACCTCCTTGTGGTCCTGTCCACCACATTCCCCAACGACTTCACCCCC